CTAAAATTTCATTCAACAAATGGATATGCTCAAACATTATCACCTTCTTGAAGTGTACATATACACATGAACAAATACATATATCATTCAAAATGTATGCAAAAATATTACAGAAAGTTTTAGCTTATAGAATCCATAATATTAACCAGTTTTATATGTTACCATTTAATCGTTAATAATTACAAAATATTTTCTAAAAAAACAATTTTAGTAATGTATTTCTGAAAACTAAAATTATATATATAATTTTTTAAAAATAGATCTTATTATATAACTCTTTTCATCATAAAGGAAAAAAAAGAAACTTCAAACTACAGCAACATGAATTTACCCAAAAAGGAAAAAAAAAAAAAAAAAAAAAAAAAAAAAAAAAAGAGACAAGAACAATTGAAGAACCCTAAATACCCCCTTCAATTATTTTTTTGGTAGATAGAGGTTGTCAGTTGTATTTATAAAGTTATATATACTGTAGATACGTGCATGTTTTTATTATTATCAAAGCATTTGCCCTTTCCCACAACCAAAAAGTTTATCAATATATATATGTATATATCTGAGTTGATTTTTTACACTTGGGTTTAATGTATATACATTTATTATATCATAAAAATTCAATATAATTTTTTTTGTCTCTGTTACCCATTTGAATTTTCTAAAATTTTGATGAATTTGAATGCTAACAAATGTATAATTCTTACTTAATTTCAATTTATACGCGTCTAATTTCTTACCCTAACAAAATAAAATGAACAAATAAAGTTAATATAAAATTATGTTTAAGAAATTATCAAACAATTTGAACTTTATTAAAATTGTGCGGATGAATTTTTTGTATAAAAACTCTATTATATTACGTATAGGGATAATTGTTATTTTTATTTTAATTTTTTTTTTACTTTTTTCAACATTTACAAAATAAAATATTTAAGTAAAATTAAATCTTAACTCCGTAAACATACTGAAAAGGAAAATTACTCTAATTAATGATGATGCAGCAGCAATTTTTCCTTTAAAAAAAAAATAATGAGTATTTCAAATTATTTGGATAGAAATAATTTAGATTTAGGTGGAGTCTGCATTTAAGTGGTTTATAAATGAGCGGCCCACGTACAGAGACACCTGATGTGTATTGTTAAATTTAGACCGTCGATTCAT